TTATGGTATGACATTGCCAGAGAGGTACACGTTCAAGGAAGTTGTGTCGATCTCATGCTTTCCACTGTTTGGGTCCATGATTGGATGGCTCCATTTCTGTAGGATTATGGAGAAACAGAACACCACGGCAGAAAAAAGCAGTAGAACAAAGCTGTTCAACTTTATGATATCCAAGAAGCAGAGAGAGACACAGAGAGACAGACTGAGACAGACACAGAGAGTCAGACAGACAGACGGACAAAAGGGCCGGGGATAATTGCATCTCTTTCTATGGCATCCACCTTGTGATCTAATTCCTCCAATGACACACTGCCTTCTATTTTCCATCCACTCCCCAAAATATCAACATATTGCAGATCCCATCAAGGGATTCATCCACTCCAACATTGCTCAAAAATTTAAGTACAAAGACTCCTTTGAACTACACTCTTAGTTGTGAACCTTGTAAAAACTTTTTAAAAATACATGCTTCTAACATTCAAGGGCAATGAATAAACATTTCTATTCCAAAAGGGAAGAATAAAGAATAATAAAGAATGAGCAAGGGGCTGGGAAGGTGGCTCAGTGGTAGAGTGCTTTCCTTGAGCTGAAGAGCTGAGGGACAGCGCCCAGGCCCAGAGTTCAGGCCCCATGACCGGACCCCTCCCCTCAAAAAAAAAAGAATAAGCAAGCCAAAGCAAGCCTCAAACCTAGCAGGGCAAACAGTAAATCTGTGTGCTGCATGTGGGATATGTGGTGGTGCTGTGTGAGATTTCAAAGGCTGAGTGGCCCCACCTCCCATCCGCCTGGCCCATTTTAGACCACTTTCTTGGCTCTGCTTGTCGCCTGGGGCTTTGCTTGGTAATTCCTGGCATTTCCTTTGGTCACTGTTGTAGCTTTGGCTTCAGACTCATAGGTGCATGTGCTGCCCACTCCATGCCCACTGGCCTGGATTATGACTCTGCCACACATTGCCTGGCTTCCCAAGCTTTCCTCTGACATCTGAGTGGAACACTCCATGACCCCACTTAACTTTTGTGTTCTGCCTTCCTGAGAAGTCAGCAGCAGGTGGAAGATCCTGTCTGCCATCAGTTCAAGCCGTGGACAGGTCCCTGGTGCTGAGGTTGCACTGGCCTCCGAGAGCCTGGGTGATTGAACCTGGATAAACACGTTCCTAGCTGTCCCCATATGATTGCACTTCGTGTGATCAGGGTCCCCCAGAGGCACTTCTCTTCCAGGCAGACTGTCGACAGAAGTGGCATTAGGGAAGGGTCTTGACTCAAGAGGCTCGGCAATTGGAGACCCTACCTTGCCCGTGGGATCAACTTCATTTCCCAAGATCATTTCAGGAAACAAAAGATCAAGATAGACTCTTCTGAAGGGAAGCTTGGATCACAGTGTGGACTGTTTGCACGGGCTGTTTGCAAGCAGTCAAGGAGCAGGACTCTAAATGGAGTCCTTGAGAAGAAATGAGAGGTACTACCTAGGAAAAGCTATAAGAAGACAGGAAGAACGATAGAAGTGTAACCACATCAGTAGCTCTGAAGCCGTGTGTATTGAAGTTTGGATACAATACTCTTATAACACTTTCTAAAGGACAAGAATATGAAATCATCATAATTATACATTCATGTTTCCAGGCACCCAAATTGAAAGACTGATAATTATGTCACAATAGCAACATCAAATGACAGAACCATAAAGGCAAAAAGGTTTGCAAAGTTGGTATTAGTTCAGATTTGATTGTTATAGGGTCACGGGAAAACTTGGACAATAAATCGTTTTGGATTCAAAGTAAAAGAAATGCAAAGAGAGTTAACTCATCCCACTGCAAAACGAGGAGGCGATAAACAGACATACAGAAAACAAACACTAAAGCGACATGTGATGGTGTGATTTATCTCATTGTGTGACTGACGCTAAGCTAGAATGAATTCAAATTGGATTGTTATAATTTTATTTAGGTATTCTATGCAATTCCTATGGTAAAGACCAAGAAAGCATTTATAAAATAGACAAGGGGTGCTGGGAAGGTGTTTCAGTGGTAGAGCGCTTGCCTTGCATGCCTGAGGCCCTGGGTTCGATTCCTCAGCACCACATAAGCAAAAAGAAAAAAGCCAGAAGTGGTGCTGTGGCTCAAGTGGTAGAGCACTAGCCTTGAGCTGAAGAGCTGAGGGACAGCGCCCAGGCCCAGAGTTCAGGCCCCATAACTGGACCCAAAAAATAAAATAAAATAGACAGGGCTCTGAGACTTGGAATAAACAACTCGTGGTATAAGGATGGGCTATAGATAGATAAATAGCAGATTTCTGTGTTTAAAGCTGAATAAACAGCTCTTTGCCCAACTAAGATATGCCAATAAAATGTTTTTAAAATATTTTAATTGGCCTATATTAGTTGTACAAGAGGTTTTATTGTGACATCCTCATACTTGTATACGATGTACCCTGATGACTCTCATTCCCTTCATCAGTCTCCTTCATCCTCCTCCTAACCTCTTAAAACAATTTCCTCAGGTTTCATGGTTCTGTTTCTATGCAGGCATGAGACGGGCTTTGACGGTGTTTACCTTTGTTCTCCCCTCCCACCAGTACCCAACTACCCCACAGAGCCTGTTTTGCCTTTTTAGTGTATTGTAATTGTACTAAGGGGTTTCACATATGCATTTATTATATTAAAATATAATTATATTTGAATTATAAAATAAAGGGGGGGGGCTGGGAAGGTGGCTCAGTGGTAGAGCGCTTACCTTGCATGCTCGAGGCCCTGGGTTCGATTCCTCAGCACCACATAAGCAAAAAGAAAAAAGCCGGAAGTGGCGCTGTGGCTCAAGTGGTAGAGCGCTAGCCTTGAGCTGAAGAGCTGAGGGACAGCACCCAGGCCCAGAGTTCAGGCCCCACTACCGGACCCAAAAAATAAATAAATAAATAAATAAAATAAAATAAAGGGGATCAAATTAACCCCCTCTGTTTCTCTATCTTTCCCTATCCACTATCTTCCTACAAACAGCTTTCAGTGAGTTTCCTTTTAACTTCTTCAGATGTAGACATATTACTCATCTTGCATCTTTCTCTTTCAGGGTTGAATAACCCTTGATAGCTGGGTACCATTGGGTACTGGTCAGGAACTAAGGACTCATTGTTGTCTTAAAAAAAAAAAAACACATGAGATACCAACTGATGACGAATTTGACATTAATAAATGCCAAAAAAGTAGAAAAATAAAACCTGAACAGTCAGTAAGAAGGTAACAATGTGTATCAAAGTTGATATAACAAATAAGGAATAGGAAAACAATAGAAAAAGTTTAAAGCTGGTCTTTAGTAAAGCTTAAAAGGTGGACAAATATCACAAGCCAGGATACTGTAAAGACACTAGTACATCCAAGTTCATTGCTGTGCTATTCGCAATAGTCAAGCTATGGAAATAGTCCAGATGCCCTACAATAGATGAATGGATCAAAAAATGTGGTATCTATACACAATGGAATTTTACACAGCCGTTAAGAAAGAATAATATTATGTCATTTGCAGGGAAATGGATGGACCTAGAACCGATCAAGCTCAGAGACACAAATGGTTTCTCTCATATGCAGAAGCTAGACCTAAAATACACTGGGACATAATAAATTATGCAGGTCTCCAGGGAATTCACACACAGTGAGACTAAAGCAGGCTACTCTTAGGAGAGGAACACAAAGTGTCATTCTAATGTGCATCTGAGCTTATAAAATAATAGCTAGTGAGGTGAACTCCAGAAAATAGAAACAAGAGGTTTTTTTCCTTTGTGGCTTTTTGGTTTTCTTTTCAGTCTTTTTTTGTTTATCTGTCTTTGGGAGGGTCGGGGGCACAGAAATGGAGGGACAAAGGGTGAACAAATGCAGCAGTACTCACTAGACACTAGTGGGTGGGGATGGGAAGGAAAAAACTGGCCGAGAGAAAGTGAAGAGGTGACATTGTCCAAAAAGAAGTGAACTCTTTACCTGACTTATATAACCGTAACCCCTTTGCACATCACCTTTACAGTAACAATAAAAGAGGGGGGAAGAGTCAGACAAACAATTTTCTGGATCTATGGTGAAAATGAGAGAAGTTGTGAGTTAATAAAACCGGAAGTGAAATCAGACATATTCCTGAATACATTATAAGAAGCGATTTTAAGAGGTATTTGAACAAATGTACATCTACAACACGGATAACTTAGATATCCTAGATAAGTTCCTAGAAACTTATTTTTAAGAATATGTAGAAAATATAATTCAATATGTCAAAAATATGATTCAAGAATATGTAGAAAATATGACAAGTTTATAGCAAATAAAGCTGGGGGAGATGACTGAAGGTGATAGACATGTTTCTGTGGCAGAGATGGAACTGGAAACAAGCCCTTTATATGGTCCAGCAATATTTTTTGACTCCTCTATGTTCGTTTCTGCTCCTGAAGGATTTTTCTTCACCTGACTCTTCCTCATAATAGTAGAAAGAAGGTTGTTTCAGTAGCACAGTTTTCCATCTTGAAGATTCCTCTCTCAAACTATTATATCTGGCCCTCTGGCCTGTCTGTCTACAGATAAGATTGTTTAACCCATTGCCTCTTGCTGAAGAGGTATAGACTTAATCTATTACTCTTTGGAACATTTGAGTCTGAAAGGAGCTGAAGAAGGAGAATCTGTGAACCAAGGGCAAGAATGTGCTGCTGTGGACAGGTGGAATTGAAGACACAAATAAACCAATAATTTCCAAAGAGCCTGTTGAAGTTTATTTCTGGGAAGTCTGTTTGTCTCCGAAGTTCCACTAAAAAAGAGTCATGAGGGGCTTTAGACTTGGTTTGAGGTGAAACATGAAGTTACTGGAGGAGGTCTAGTGTTGTGTTTAATGTTACATTTTTAGCCAAGGGTTTATGTATGGCTTTCATATGGCTCTAAGAATGCCCCTTCCTTTTATTTTGGAACTAGCCATTGCAGAAATTCTCACCAAGCCCCTGACATTGTAGGAACCAAGAGATCTCAGGAGTCAAAACAAATGATGCAGAAAGTTAACTCTTTATTAGAAAGCAAAATTTTGAGCAATCTCCAAGTTAAAGACAAGCAAGCATGAACGGGTGATCCCATCCATAGAAGAATATCTTGGGGCACATGGGAGTCTGGATCACAGATTTCACTCAGGTCAGGTGACTCCTAAAGAAAGAGGGCATAGTGATGTGAAGCCAGTGAAGAGTCAGTGGTCAAGACATGAGCTGTGACCCCAGTCCCTTTTAGCTCCATCTGGACCAACTCCTGCATCTTGGGGTGGTAGACCCCTAAGGTCCAGGGGATCCATAGTTTCTGTTGCTTTCCTTTGCTCAGATGAAGGACTATTAATGGAAACTTGCAGGGAACACCTTTTTTTTCCTCCTTGGACTCCAGATTTCTCTCCTGACATTGCAAATATTCCAACTGGGACCTGTGGTTCCTCTGGTGTCTCCCTTTTTCAGCTCTCCTGCATCACAAGCAGGGACCGTTTTGGTATTACTCTCTCTCCTGTATTGTGAGGGAAAAAGAAGCTAATGGTTGGATCTACAAAGGAGGATAAATGCACTCTACTAGAGATACAAGAATAGCTATGCTATGCATAACAAAGTACTCACTGTTCTAATACTTCATGGCAATGTGAGAAAAGAAATTAAGCTTTACTCATCAAAAGCACCCGAATTTAAAAGGTTACAACATGAGCTCATAAATATGATTGGATATGTGGTACACATTTAATTTTAGAATAGATAACGTGCAACAAAACACGACTAAAGCTGGATGTGGTAGCCTATGCCTGTAATGCTAGCGACTTGAAAGGTGGAAATTGGGAGGATTGTAGACAGAGGCCAGATGGAAAAACAGTAAGACTCCTCCACCCCATCTCAATCAATAAAAAACTGGGCATGGTGGTTGGTGCCTATCATCTCAGCTATGTGGATAGTGGAAATAGATTGTAGTTAAGTGGTCCAGGCATAAATACAAGAGCCTATCTCAAAAATAACCAAGGCAGCTGGGTGCTATGGCTCAGAGCTATAATTTAAGCTACTCAGGAGATTGAGACCTGGAAGGTCATAGTTCAAAGCAAGCTTGGACAGAAAAGTCTGAGAGACTCTCACTTCCAATTAACCAGCAAAAATCCAGGCTGGTTGTGTGACTCTATTGGTAGATCATCGGCTGTGAGCAAGAAAACTGAATGAGAGCTCAAGGTCCTGAGTTCAAACTCTGGTAATGGTGCCTCCCTACACTCCAAAAAAGTACAAGAAAAGCAAAAAGGCCGGGAGCCAGTGACTCATGCCTGTCACCCTAGCTACTCAGGAGGCTGAGATCTGAGCATTGTGGTTCAAAGCCAGCCTGGGCAGGAAAGTCCATGAGACTCTTATCTCCAATTAACCACCTGAAAACCTGAAGTGGTGCTGTGGCTCAAGTGGTAGAGCACTCGCCTTGAGCTGAAGAGCTGAGGAATAGTGTCCAGGCCCAGAGTTCAAGCTCCACAATTGACAAAAGAGAAAAAGAAAAGCAAAAAATGGTTAGAGTGGTTCAAGTGGCAGAGTGCCTGTCTAACAAGTCCAAATCCTAGTACCACCAAAAACTGCCCTCCTCCAATGAAAAAGAGAGAGAAGACCCTTGAAGATGCTAAGTTTGCTTTCTGTATCTTGACCAGTACCCACCTCACCAGGAACTGTTATACATTTCCTCAAAGTTTATAACACAACATTTCCATGGATGTGCACAATGGATACATTCCCATTGTGGGCCCGGGGACTTTGCATGTACTACTTCTAAACATGTATGTATCCTGTTTGCTAAGAAAACATACCTCAATATTGATCCAGGTCTTCAGTTAGCCAATGAGTGTATTAGGCAATAGATTTCAACGCTATCCCCTTTATACATCTGCACTGCCCTTGACTAAGATAAGCAGCTTTTAGTTGATCACTATGGCCATGCAGCTGCTGTTTGTATTGGACCTGATATAGTTGTTGTTGTTGTGTTGGTCCATGATAGAGCATGCTTTCTTTTGTGTTAACAAGTTGGACAACGTGTCTCTGAGCCTGTGGGCCATAGTCTTCCTTTTGTTGATGGATCTGTGTCTTCATGCCTTTCACCACAAGTGACTTCAGCTGACTTGGAGCACCTGGCACCACAAGTGTCTTCAGCTGACTTGGCTCGCCTTGCACCACAAGTGTCTTCAGCTGACTTGGCACACCTGGCACCATAAGTGTCTTCAGCTGACTTGGCTCGCCTTGCACCACAAGTGTCTTCAGCTGACTTGGAGCACCTGGCACCATAAGTGTCTTCAGCTGACTTGGCTCGCCTTGCACCATAAGTGACTTCAGCTGACTTGGCACACCTGGCACCATAAGTGTCTTCAGCTGACTTGGAGCACCTGGCACCATAAGTGTCTTCAGCTGACTTGGCGCACCTGGCACCATAAGTGTCTTCAGCTGACTTGGCTCGCCTTGCACCACAAGTGTCTTCAGCTGACTTGGAGCACCTGGCACCGTAAGTGTCTTCAGCTGACTTGGCTCTCCTTGCACCATAAGTGTCTTCAGCTGACTTGGAGCACCTGGCACCGTAAGTGTCTTCAGCTGACTTGGCTCGCCTTGCACCATAAGTGTCTTCAGCTGACTTGGCACACCTGGCACCATAAGTGTCTTCAGCTGACTTGGCGCACCTGGCACCATAAGTGTCTTCAGCTGACTTGGAGCACCTGGCACCATAAGTGTCTTCAGCTGACTTGGAGCACCTGGCACCGTAAGTGTCTTCAGCTGACTTGGCTCGCCTTGCACCACAAGTGTCTTCTGCTGACTTGGTGCACTTTGCACCAGAAGTGTTTTCTGCTGATTTGGGTCGCCTGTCAGGATAAGTGTCTTCTGCTGACTTTCCTCACCTTTCACAACTAGTGTCTTCTGCTGACTTGGCTCACCTTTCAAGACAAGTGTTTTCTGATGACTTTGCTGGGAAGAAATGCCTTTGGATAGTTGTTGGGTTTTGATTCCTTCTGCAGCACACACTGTATCTTGTCTAGCTAGAGTTTGCTGTGTCATCTGTTGTTGTTGTTGTTGTTGTTGTTGTGGCATGCCAAAATCTTTGGTCTGTACCTGGGATTTTGTTTTGGTTACAATGCCTTCTGCAGCTAAAACTCCTTTTGTGGCTGTTGGTTCATGGTGGTGTTGAGTCTGTTGTTGAAGTGCCTGTTGAATCTGTTGTGTAAGTAGATGCTCATAGGATCTATCTGGAAACTGGCTTTTTGTCTGGCCTGGTAATTGATAATAAGAATGTGTGAGTTACATGATCTCTAATGCCGCCTTCCAAGCCTTATCTAGACCCTTTTTTATGGAACCACTGATGATTCCCCAAGGGAGTTGGATTTTGGTGAAGACTAAGTTCATTGTGAAGAAGAAAGTATGCCTAAAGGTACTTTTGCAAACTGCCACCCCTCCGACCAAAGTAACCTTAGAAGACATTCTCCCTGAAGGACTTTTTCCCCCTAGCCAGCCTTTCCCACTCACCATAGAATGGCATACCAGCAGCTGGCTTCTCCAGAATGAGGAGCAGAGAAAGGATGAAGATGGGGGACTTCATCTTGCTAGAAAGATGTCAGCTGAGAGCTGAGTGGAGCCTCTGGTTTATATCTTCTTTGACTGTGTGTGCCACGGGTGTGGCTGGTGCGAGAAGGCACTGGTCCTTGCTTATCTGCAATGCCAGCTTCCTCTCCTCTGCACAGCTGGGGGCATTGTTAATATACTAGGGACACAAGGCTATAGACTATTTCCTATTCCCACAATCCCTTTCGAATGTTTATCAGCCCTGAGATCATCACTTAGCATTTCCAGAAGAAATTCAGGGTAGAGAAGGGAAGAGGCTCACTTGAGGCTATAAAAAGGAATCAGAGAGCCGAATCAAGCTTTCATAATTCGAGAAAGGACCTCCGTCTACGGTATAGCCCTGAACTTCTGTTTGTTTCCCTATGAGCTGTGAAGACATGCTGTTTCACAAGAACTTGAGAGGTAGAACACACAGAAGTAGATAAACACAGATGAGAAGCCAATTTCTGGAGGCCAAGGAGGGCTTCAATAACAAACGAAGCCCATCAGCCTCAAAAGTGGCTATGAAGGACATAACCATAAAAACCAGCCAGTGCCCAAACTTCTCCAAGTAGGTCCTGTGAGTTATTCATGTTTCCAAAATTGAGAGGTTATACAAGGTGGTTATAATGCAATGTGTCCATCTAAGCAGTCCAGGGCTTCTTGGTCAGTGTCCTCCCTTCCCTCATTCTTCTTATCCCCTCCGTTCTCTCCTTCAGACCAATTACACATTTCTTGCTTCCTTTATCACATCTGTACATTCAGTATTCTTGTTGTTATTTGTCCCTTATTCCCGTTTCCATTCACCCACTCCCCTCCCACTCACTGTACCCCCTTACTATCTTATTTCAGCTTCCTGATACTCATTTTGTTAAATTGTCTTCCAGTCATGCAAAATATTTTATTCCATGGAGTTTTCTCTTCGGGAGAATGAAATTGTGTCAGTTTCAGGGAGATGGCTGGAAAATATCATACTGAATGAGGTAAACCAGGCCCAGAAAGACAAAAGGAGCAGCTTCTCTCTTTCTTTCTCATATGTGTATCTTAGACCCAAAATACAACACAAGGACGTGTGTGTACCCATGACTTAGTTGACTAAAGTATAGCATATACAGAAGTGAAACTCCACAGAGTAAACCTGTTAGTTACTTTGATGAAAGAAAGAGTATAGTTGTGTTGGGTTGTTAGATGGAGGATGAAGAAAACCAGTAGCAGGAAGTCTGTACATTAAGTAGAGTGATACTTATGGCTATTCCTGGAAGATGAGATGAGCTACAGTGCTATTGTTTAAAGGATGGGCAGAATTTTAACATGCTTGAATGGTGATAGGAATGATCAAGAAAAAGAAAGAGGAATATTAGTTCCTTATTTAATTCTCATCATGAAATGGACCTAAAAAAACCACAGTATATATTTCATGAAATAACATTGTACTGAAGTGTTAAATAGATCAAAGTCCCAATAAGTTGTTAGGAATACTTACCAATATTGATAAATTTATTAGCATATTGAGACAGGAAACAAAGTGACTATTTCCTCCTTGTGTAGAAGAAATGTTTTAAGCAACTGCGAGAACACTGGAATGGTCCACAGGACATTCTCCTAGTTTTGTCCACACGGAGTGTGGTAGGGACAAACCACAGGAAAAGAGGACAGCATTGGACTGCAGAGCCTGTGTGATTTAGAGCAGCACTGCAGGTGATTCCAGCAGGAGGATGGGTTAAAAATCTTTTTTCAGCCTGGTACCAGTGGTTCATGCCTGTAACCCAAACTACTCAGAAGCTGAGATCTGAGAATTATGGTTGAAAGTTAGCCTAGGAAGGAAAATCCATGAGAAGTGGAGTTGTGGCTCAAGTGGTAGAGTGCTAGCCTTGAAGCACAAAAGCTCAGGGACAGCACCCAGGCCTAGGATGAGTTAATATATATGTATATATATATATATATATATACATATATATATGTATATATATATATATGTATATATGTACTTCCCCCCCCCAGCATTATGTCCTAAAATCCCAGTCTACTAGAGCAATGTTTTATAGATGGGATCAAGAAAAGAATCAACTACATTTTCACAAAATAGCAAAGATGAAACTCAGTATGTCATCAAACATAAGACTTGGGAGCTATATGATTTTAATATTATTAATTCTGAGCTTCTACCAAGGTTATGTTTTTGTCACAAGATTTGTAATGATTCCCACCAAACTTGACACCAGTCAACTGCATTAAAATGATGTTGAACTAAAATTGCATTTTGTGTCTGCTTACATCTGTACTCCTCCACACACTTCCCTTGAGAAAAACATACCAGGAACTGTTCCTATACAAGCTTGCTGATAAGACTGCACCCGATAACACTGGCCTTGTCAACACATCAAAGAACTAAGTCTGTGTCTAAACTTGTGTCCAAAAGATACAGATAAAACAATGAGAATCACAATGTTAAAAAAAAGAAAACCAGGAAAAGTCAAATAAGACATAGCAAAAGATTATGATAAAGATGAATGCAAAAATTCATGACATGGAAAGATGAAAAATGATATAGCTGATGAATAAAACAAGATACAGTGTGTGTGTATGTGTGTGTGTGTGTGTGTGTATGTATGTATGTATGTATGTGTGTGTGTAATTATTTTTATGGTATGAGATTAGAACTCAGGACCTTGTGCTTGCTAGGCAGGTATTTTACAACTAGAGCCAAAACTTTAGCTCTTTTGCTTTAGGTTATTTTTTATTTTATTTTATTTCTTTTGTTGGTCCTAGAGCTTAAACTCGGGGCCTGGGTGTTATCCCTGAGCTTTTGTGCTCAAAGCTAGTACTCTACCACTTTGAGCCACAGCTCTACTTCTGATATATATACATATTTTTTGGATATATATTTCTGATATATATATATACAGAGAGAGAGAGAGGAACAGAGACAGAGACACAAAGAAAGAGAGAGACTAGATATTTAGATCTTGCTTTGATCCGACTTGCCATTCTATTTTTTTTTTTTTTTTTTTGCTGTTGTTTCAGTCTTGGGGCTTGAACTCAGGGTCTGGGTATGAGCCACCAAAGCCCAGCTTACATATTCTATTTCTTTTGGATGGATAAATAAGGCCATTCACTGTAAATGTTAACACAGAAAGATATGTGGTATTTCCTACCTGTTTTTAGTGTTAGATTCTTCCCAACCCTTGTTTATCTACTCCTTGGTTAGATTTCTTTTCTTCCTTGTTTTCAGGTTATATTGATCTTCCTTTTCTGTATGTAGTATTCCTTTTAGTATCACCTGTAGTTCTGGTTTAGTGGCCATAAATTGCTTTAGATTTTGGTTTTCCTGGAATGTTTCTATTTGTCTTTCAGCTATAAATGATAGTTTTGCTGGGTACAATATTCTAGATTGGCAATTGTTTAGTTTCAGTGCTTGAAATGCAGCATTTCAAGCCTTGCTTGCTATAAAGGTTTCTGTT